TTGGCTTTGAGGTGGCCTCCATATTGTTAAGCTTATGTAAGTAGGATAAAATCCTAGCAAGCGGCTTTCTAAAGACTCCACTTTAGGAAAATGAAACCCTTCCTCCTCCTACTCCACACCTCAGGCTGCAGAGCTCTCAGAATGTAATACTCAGAACGAGACCTCACCTTCTTGGTCATGAGTACTTTGTTTCTTAATTTGTTGGAATTGGGGTTGAAAGAGAGAAAGTATTCTCCCACAGAAAACAGGACCTGAGAACACATAAACTTGAAACTGTCAGCAGAAATCATGTTCTCCCACATGCATGAGGAAGCAGAGAACACAAATTTGTGGACCATTCTTAAGGCGAGATGAATCCCTCTTTGCCTGGGACATTTCCTATTTACATCTGTCGTCTCAGTACAGTTACTAATAGTACCTTCTCTTAAAATATCTAGATTTAGAACCTAAATCATTCAAGACTCTTTAATGGCAAATAATAGCAACTCAGTTTGAACAGCAGCTGCTGAGGTATTATTCCAGGTCCCATCTTGTAAGTCAAGAGACTTGACTTTGAATATTTGGAAAGAGTAGAGTCCAAATTTACTTCTATGAGGGGGCAAGTGCCCTCAAACTATAACAGCTCCTATCTCTTACCTTTGATATACTGGGAACTACCATTCTGAAATTGGGTCTTGTATATGTGTTGCTGCGGAGGCCTTTGCTGTTATTGCTGATATGCAGAATATCTAACCCTAATCTATTGATACTAGATAATAATTGTTATAAAGACTTTTCTAATTCATCTTCTGGTCATATATTTAATAGGAATCTTTTTGTGTGGGCATCTGATAAGGGACTGTGGCCCTTACTGGTGAAAACCCTCACTGGTTTTAAGACTTATAATTCATGCCCTTATACTTCATGTTAACTAAAGTTAACTTTCAAGGAGAAAGAATAAAGTGGATGCACAAAACCCAGCAGAACAGAGAGACAGGTATTTTGAGCTTCTTCTCATCCTCCAGACCCTTTTCACGCAGGCTTCCCTGGAGAAGTACGCCACCATTTCCTATAGTTATAATCGATTGGTGCTAATGTTATCCCCACAACTTTCTGTAATTTTTAGGGCCTAAAATCCCAATGTAACTTACAGTATAAACTTAAAATGAGCATATTCAGATTCCATCTGTGATCAAATCAGTGAATGGAACTCATTTATTTGTACTTTTACCAGGTGAATATTGAACAATAGTGTAGGTTATTAAATAGGCTCTAGGTCATGGAGTTAACAAGACAGACACATTTGTATTTCCCCAAAGACATAATTTTAGATGTGAGGTTCTTCCATTCTGCTTCAAAAGATTTATCAATAACTAACTAAAATATTCAACACTTTGTTTATATATCTTGGGTATTCACCTGCTTTAGGCTCATAGTCTAAGAAGAATCAGTGAAATGAAAATTCTCTGCCCTAGAATGAATTCTATTCTAAAAAGTAAGACTTGGAAACATATGAAAAGGTGTTTATTAACCCTTTTTACATATGCATATGTAAAAATGGTAAATATATATATGATGTGAATTTATCATTGTAGTTGGTAACTTACTTTTAAAAAAATTGCTGTATAGATTCATTACCTTTTACATTCATGATTTCTGGGCAGACTTGGAAGAAAAATGAAATTTCACCACTAGCCAAATTTCTATGGAGAAAGTATTACTTTTCTTGAAAGGTGGGAACAAAAATATTGTTCCAACTACAGGGAGAAGCTTGAGAAATTTGAATGCAAGAGATCATTGAGAAAATTTTCTCAGACTCTGAGTGTGAGACAAAGGAGGAAATACACTGAGCGTTTTTACTGTTCCCTTCGTAAGGTAACAGATTGTTGTGTTTTAGACACTTGTTAATTTATCTTTGCTGAATACAATGGTACTGGGAAATGAAGAACAGAGGAGTCCAGTGATTTTCCTTAGAGTCTGCGCATCATCAGATGAAGGAGAATGATGATCAGTGTTAGATCAGCACCTATAGCTCTGTAGGAACCTTATGAGAACGTTTCATATTTAGATTTGGACTTCCAAGACTACTGGTGAAAACCCTGTAAATCTACCAAAGAGACACACCAATAGGGTTTTAATAACTGGAAGCCAGTCTTTGGGTTTTGACATAGGCTATTTTTTGAGGCATCTGACCCAGAAATCCAGCATCTGCCCTTCGCCTGCTCTGTTAGATCCTCTAAGGAATCTCTTGCACATTCTCAGAAGCTGCTGGTAAGAAGATGAAAGAACCAAGATAAACTTTTTCTGAAGCTGTCCACAGAGACATGAGGTTTGTATAGAAGATGACAAGTGCTTGTTAGTGATGATCACACTGTTAACTAATGCTGTATATCAAATCTAGCACTTCCCATACACTGCACAGTGTGTTTCCATAAACATAAGGCAAGTATATAATTACCCTCTTTATGGGTGAGAAAACTCAAGCAAAGCGAGTTCAAGTAACCTGTCTAAGGTCACAGACAGGAAGCAATAAAACCCTATCTCAGAGCTAGAGTTTGAACTAGAACTCACTGGCTGCAGAGTGTATGATATGAACAAATTTTTCTGCCTTTTCTTAATACTAGTGGATCCCTAGCAGCCAGGAAATGTAGCTCCTAGCAGGTACTCTATGAACACTTATGGACTGAGCAGTGAGCTGGTGGAGAACCAGGCCTGATTTGCCCAAAGGCTAACCCTGAAATGCACAGTCAGACGTTGGACGTGTGAAAGGCTGGTCTTGCACTTTTTCCTTCTTATATCTATTAGAGATGGAAGTCTAGCAGATCTTGGGAAATGCACTTAATCTCAGAACTAATTTGTTTTCTTTTAGTTGGGGATGTCATAAATCTCTGAGAATCACATAAAAAGTAAAAGCACTCTCCACATAAAAATTCTCACCTGCAAAATATTTTCTAATGGACTTTTTTTTTTTTGGCATTTTTTCTGGTACCAGGAATCAAACTCACAACCTCACGGTTGCCAGGCAGGCGCTGTACTGCTGAGCTAAATCCCCAGCCCCAATATTTTCATAATATGTGAGATTGTTCAGGTCTGTAGAATTTTCTGGGAATAAGAACAGTTGGTTTTGGGTATGTTTCTGAACTTTGAATGTTGATACCATTCATTTTTCAAGCAATTTAGGTGAATGCTTGAGCCAGAGAAAATTATACTCACCTTTTAGTGGGTTACTTCCTTTTGTTTCCTCCTCCAGATGAAAGTGCTGCTCCAGTATTAAAGTGGCTGTGTGGTCACCCGCTGGCTGCCTGGTAACAGCATGGTCTGTGCATTCCATGGCTGGGCTCCAGGAAGGCAGAGAGCGCTGCTCGGGAGTAGACGTAGGAGCCCCAGGTTTCTGACATGAACTTTACTGCGGCTGCTGCTGAAAGACCTTATTATTATTGTGGCAGATATTGGGAGAATAAAGGGACCATTTTCCGAATGGAAGACTGTTGTTAATTGAATATTTTTCGATTATTTCGGTATTAAGTTGGTCAGAGTATTACAGCATGTCTGTTTTGGCATGTGTTTGTTTAGGTAGCTTCTTTTAGTACGTGAACATCCCGGGGCTGGGGATTTAGCTCAGAGGCAAAGCGCTTGCCTGGCAAGCGCAAGGTCGTGAGTTTGGTTCCCAGTACCAGAGAAAAACCAAAAAACCAAAAAAAAAAAAAAAAAAAAAAAAAAAGAACATCTCACACCCTCACTAGCTTCCTTTAATCTGAGTTAGGTGAACAACCATAGGAAACAAAAGCAAATGACCCCACAAAAGGTGAATACAATTTTCTCTGGCTCAAGTATGCAACTATAGTAATTTCTTGAGGACTTCCCTTTCTTTTTAGCAAAAGGGAGGTAAAGTGTATAAGAAAAATGGCGTGGATTTTGGTATTATTTTCACATTTAAGGATCTCTAGAAAAGAATATAGTTTAAATTACAGGCCTGGTGTGGTGGCGCACACCTGTGATCCCAGCACTCAGGAGGTTGAGGGAGGAGGATCACTGTGACTTTGAGGCCAGCCTGGGCTCCATAGTGGGTTCAAGGCCGGCCTGAACTGCACAGTGAAACCCTGTCTCAAAAAGACAACAGCAACAGCAAAAATTACAATGAAGCCTTTCCAAAATGGCCTGAACTTTTTTTTCTTTACATTTAAGAGTCTCTGGAAAAAGAATAGAGTTTCAGTGAACATGAAATCCTTCCTTGAGATTGTAGAAATGTAAACAGGACTAATGCTGGAATTGATGTGTCTAAGTTCTCAGCTGAAGACTAGAAGTGTTTGATAACTTGGTAGTGACTGGTTTCTTTGATTCTGAAATGATACCACAGATTCTGGGGGACATGAGGAGGGGTAAGATGAGGAAGAAAATACTAGAATTCCAGCTCTGCCATTAACATCCTGTATAACCCTCAACAGGCAAGTGCCTCCTTGAGTCTTATCTGTGAAGAGAGTTGAGAAGATCTTTATGAGCTCTGAAATACTATTATTGTATGAAAAAACCAAAGTATTCTTCCTCCACCGCCTTGCTGTCTTTGATCTGTGCCCCTTCCCCTCAGTGTTTCTGTAAGTTGTTCCAGTGTACTTGAATTTATGGCTGAACTCCTTGAAATCTCTGGTCCATGTTCCATAGAACTAAATGCATCATAATATCTTGGATACAACATAGGGATCGTTCCACAGAGAGATGAAGCCAGTACATGAGATTTCTTTCAAATTCCTCTAAATTTTACTTTCAAGATGAAGGATGGACCATTCTTGCTTATTTTATGTTTTTAGTGTGACAGAAATTCACATAGTGATAGAGACCTTTGTCTTTGAGACCTGTGTCTAAGACCCATGTCTTTCCTTAAATTCAATCCAACTCTTTACTTTATTTTTCTTAACAATAATTTTTATTATTTTCTTTCATCTGGGAAGTCCTAGGAGACAGTTGGGCCTATTTATTGTAAGATGACCTAAGAAAGAAGACATTATTGAAATATTTACTCAGTATTTAAGCCATTTTATTTCTACGATCTTAATTTATATCAGTTCCTGCAACATGGCCTGAAAGCATTTTAGAAAGCATACAGCCAAAGCACAGAATGGAACATTTAGCAAAGAATACAAGATAAAACACAATTTAAAAAGTTTGATGTATTTATGCTTTCAAAAGATCGGGCTAGGGGTCTATTATATTTTAATACTAATATGCAGCTTGAGGGAGAAATAATATGATATTATTGGTATAGCATCATATTAAATATTGGTGCTTTGAGTCAAAAGCAAAATCATAATCTTATCACAAAGTTTTAATATATTAGAGGAACATTCATTTGGAAGGCTGGGTAAGGTTTTGTTTCTTTCTGCAATAAGTTGGTTCTGATCTTGCGGATACTGTCTCCTGAGAACCAGAGTTTCTTTCACATTTTGGTTTCTTCTAGAGGTCGATTCATGAAGTCTTGAATAGCTTGATGCAAAGGAAGCCATTTTTTGATAGATGTTTTCAGAGCTGTAATCCATCTGTAGGAAAAAAAAAATTAGTGTACAATAGGCCATTAAACAAATTGTTGGACTCTAGGGAGGTAAACTGTTACAAAATCCTTTAATATATTTTGTAATTGTTTTTCTTGGTTATTGAGCTTGAGATTAATAAGATTAACCATGCTCCTTAGATCTGGGATTGATTAAGAAGGCCAAATACCAAATGAGAAATATGTGATGATAACAATAAAAAATAAATTTGAAAAAGTAATCGGAAGAGAGTATGATGTTTGCTAATAGTGATTCATGGAGCTACTCCAGCAGCGTTCCAAAAATTATTAGTATTTTATTGTTTCTATTTAACTTTAAAGTTCAGTTGATCACACCTACAGTAATCAAATATTGCTATACAAAGTATTTATTTGTTGAATTCAAGAAAACCATAACAAACTCTCCAGTTGTCTCCTTTTCCTTCTTTTCATTGTTTTTATCAATATTTTTAATAAAACATGTTCATATAACAGTTATTCCCAGGGCAAATGTCATTTAAAAATAAAACCAGCTATGACCAAAATGAGTTAGCCAGGAGCGTTTCCAGCAGTGTGCTCCAGAAGCACTATTGGCTATTGTGCTACATGATTCTCTGAGAGGGTGATGCAGTTTGTGTTACTCTGTAAGCTTAACTTTGGGGGTAAATGGGGTAGCTTGTGAGTCCAGAGTTCTAAGCACCCGTAACAGTCAGCTGTTCTGCTTTGAAATATTTCCCTAATAACTCGATATTGTTTCTGACTGATGAAATCCCCTATGAATTTAACAGTGAGATCCAGCTATTAATTTCCTCTCAGGGAGAAGCCAGAAGATTTTATCATGTGGCAACTAACTATCTTACCAGCCTTTTCTTTAATAGTTAGCTGAGCTCCCATACCTGTACCTGCCACCCAGATTGTACTCCTGGGAAGATCTTGGCAAACTATCTAGCTGTTCAGGAGTTACTGTCCCCAGCTCTAGCACATTGTTTGAAGTGAGAGACACAAGAAAAGTTTAAGCTATAGGAAAAGGATGAAGCGATCCCTACTGTCTTGTCCCAAATAGTCATTTGAGGGAGATCCTTGTAATTCCACTTCTGTAGTTTTATTTCTTTGGCTTAAAATGGTGTATCTAGTTCTTGAAAATGCCTCTGGAAATGTTTATTGTGTCATCTGCTTTACTAAAGTATTGGAAATTTCTTTGTTAGATTGTCTCCTTTTTCCCAGACATTTGGATAAACAGGTCTAGACCAGTGGGAGATGATCTAGACTATCATGGAGCAGGTGAGGGCAGAGGTGGGAGATGGAAGGCACCGGATGTTTGGGGGGATTAGACTCAGGTTAGGGAAACCGCAGGGGCAGAGGGGGATGCTCTTGGCACCAGAGACTATTGCTCTGCCTCACAGTTTTGTCACTGTTAACTTTTTTTGCGTTTATATTTCAGAGTCATTATGAACTAAGTTTTCATTTGTGCATACCAATTTGGACACTGAATATATCATACATTAGGTAAGTTCTATGTTCTTCAGTGGCTTGTAATAAAAGAAAACAACCAATATGTATGTGAAAACAGGTAAAATAAAAATGATGGATTAATTAATTATAATGTCTGACAGATTATGGTGCTAATGGGTTTTTCATATTGAAGCCTGAGGCAGTCACTGCTTGGGAAGAATTGAGGACAACTTTTCCATTAAAAAATTCCTCTGGAAGAGTCATCTGAGGGAGCACTGCAAGAAAAAACATTCGAAGGAATATGAACTATGGAAAACTCAAAGAAAGGGCTGGATTTAACTGAAGATATGGCATTGGAAAATAAGGATAAAGGTTTTCTAAAAAGACCTTGTCAGGAGCTATAAAAAGATGAAATATGAAGACCTTGGCTTACCGTTGGTTCTCTGTCGTGTTTTCTGCACAGAAATAGAAAGTCTTGAACTCTTCCGATGGAGGTTTGAGTTCAATGACTGATTGTTTGAAGCTATGGATCTGTTCACTCACCGTATATCCTTGCAGATATAGGCCGCCTACAAAAGATAAAGAAAGGAGAATAAAAGGCCAATGACAACAGGAAAAGAATAAGAAGGTGAAAAACTGTGGGGGAGGGTGTCAAGAAGATTTTTGTGTGTGAAGAAACCCCCTGGTGCAGGTGTCTTATTTTACAAGTGAAGAAACTGAAATTTCAGAAGAGGGCATCATACAAGGTTACACATTAATTAGTAATTAGAAGAAAGACTGGTAGTAGAATTTGAATTTCCCAGCTTTCATTTGTGCATTCTTCTTACTACATGACTAGCACTTTGTCTTGGGTAACGGTGTGCTGAAACTAGCTTCCTTACCAGGGGACACATTTTGAAATGAAATTCTCAGTGTCAAAGAATGACACATGTAATATCACATTAGAGGGAAATTAAACGGCATTTTCTGGGACAGAACCATTATAATACCATTTTAAAGGATCTTATAAATTTCTACCACCCATATGTATTTTTCTTTCTGTGTGAATGCACAAAACACATCTAAAATATGAACCCACAGTGTGATATGAAAGTGCCATCTTGAATAAGTAATGAGAATAAAGGATTGACTTTAAAGGATCGTGTCTTTCCAGTGGTCTTTTGAATTCATATTAGTGGTTATAATGTATGTTGCTGGGCCTGAGTTTTGTTTCCATTGTTTAGGAGTCGGGGGAGGGCTGGTGTCTTAGTTGAGGAGAAATTTCCGAAAGCTCAGAACCCTTGTGTGTGTTTTACGATGTCTTCATGCTGTGAAGTAGCAGATTCTCTCTATGGTCTCAGTGATGGTGAAGACAAGATGTGTAAACGTTTCCTCTTCCTGCTCACTCTTGTTCTCATACTCTGACTCCCCCGCAGGAATGCTGTAGTGCACTACACTAACGAGGGAAATATGAAAACACTACTTGAATTTGTGCCACTCTACTCAAGAACTATCCAATGCCAATTTGTTACTAAGAGATGGGGAAGGGAAAACCAGCCCCTATGAATGTGACCACTGGGGTTTATATCTAGATGTCCCTCAAGAGCCCCGTGTGCTCATAGGTGGGGCTTGGGGAAGTTGATGGGACAGTAGGTCCCTGCAGCGGACTTGCTGTTAGGAGGCAGGGTCTGGTTGGAAGAGTGGGTCACTGGGGGTGTCACCCAGAAAGGTTTATCTCTCTCTCCAGCTCCTCCCTTTGCTCTGTTTGCTCCTCCCATCCCATGAGCTGCTCTTTCACTGGGATGCCCTCTGTCATGCCACCTTACCTTGGAGCGGGTGGACTAGGGGTTGAAACCTCTACCAACTGTGAGCTAACAGAAACTTTTCCTCTTTATGTCCGTGGTGCCAGGTACTATTCCTTAGCACCAGTAATGAGGAAAGTAACCAACACCCTGACTTTTGTCCTCCTGTAGGCTTTACACAGTACCAGTATACACTGTTTCTGGAACATGAAAATTTTCTTTTTAAACAGAATGAATGATGACTTGGGGATTTTAAATATTAGGAAAAAGTCTTGCTTCTTTCATGGGAGGTTCAATACAACATCAAATTTCTATTTTCATTTAAGAAGAGTCCATTTTGGAATGAATTTCTATGAAATAATTTATTTTAGAAATTAATATATTTTTGTCTTCAATGGGCTTTAGTATATGGTGCTTACTAAAACCAGAGGGTGATTTCTTTCATATATCTACATCTATATATTTATATATAAAGAGATTTAAAACAGCTTTATTAAAATATGATCTATACATCATAAAACTCACCCATTTAAATGTACATTTTGATACTTTCTGTTTAATTATGGAGTTATGCCATCATCCCCGTAAACTCATTTTAGAGCAATTTCATCACATCAGGAAGAAATCTCTTTCTTTTAGTAGTCACTACCTGTGTGATATGCCAGGCCAGCCCTAGAGCAATTCTGCTCTTCTTTGTGTTCTACTCATTTTTTTCCTGAAACTTTTCATACAAGTAAAATCCTATGATACCTGGTATTTTGTGACTGGTTTCTATGCTTAATATAGTGTTTTTAAGGTTTACCACTGTGATACCCTACATCAATATTTTGTTTCTTTTTACTGATGAATTATTTTCCATTGTATGGTTATATCACATTTTATTTATCCATTCATTAATTGATGGACATTTAAATTTTCTCCAATGCTTTGGCTATTATGAGTAATGTTGCTATGAACATTCATGTACAAGTTTTTTTTAAACCTAGATGTGTATTTTCATTCTTTGGGCATATATTAGAAGTGGAATGGGCAATGTGCTAGACAACAGAACAGCTAAAGAAGTATCATAGGGTATTTGCTATCTAACTTCTCTGCTCCACATAAGGCTGCACAGCATTGATATGTTACTGTATTTATACAATACTGCACTGGTTTTTCTCTGCATATGAGACTTTTTGTTTTTTGGCTAAGATATAAATACCTTTCCCTGTCTCTATCCTTTTTGATTATGGATAGAAGATTTTGTCCAAAGAACCTGCCACAAAAAGGAAAGTTTTCTGACTCTTTTCCCAGTCCCTTGTGGGGTATACATATTTGGCTGTATACACATCCAGTTATAACTGCATTATTTCACTGGAGGTGACTTCACTGGGTCGGCCTTTCTGCGATGAGGTGAGTGGTGGTAGTGATCAAGCCAGCACAATGTTAATTGCAGATCTGTGTGAGCATTACGTGTCCCACTTGCTGCAATCATGTAAAATATGTATTTCTGAGAAGTACACAGAGACCTTGATGTGATTTATTCATGAACAATAGTCAACAGCTGTGATTTGTTACTGCCAGGTTTTGCTGGAGAGCAATGAAAGGGAAAAAAGTCATCAAGGGTACAGTGAGTGACAAGGGCTCACGTAAAGCCATTTGACTAATGGGGCTTCTGGAATACTTACACAGTGGCTTTTAAATATTAGCAGTCACATGCAAGCCAGAGACGCACATTCTTCAAGGGTAACATTGCCTTAACAGTGAGGAAAGCCGTCAGGGAACTGATGAGGCTATCTCTCCCATCCACACATCACACTTTAAAGGAAATTTATCTGGCTGAAACTAAAATGTGCGATTAGTAATGTCTAACAGGGTTTTTACAGGAAACTAGCACTGTCTTGCTTCCCACATCTTGCTGTGTTTTCCAGTACTTTTATCTTTTCCCTGACCTTCCTTGTTGTCCTCAGTGTCTCTTTAGCTTTTAGATTATTATTATTATTATTATTATTATTATTATTATTACAAGAAACAAGTCATGCCAACCAAACTACAAAACCCTTCAGAAATAGAAAATATTACATGAGATCTCCCAAATCACTAATGGAAAACATAAGGCACTGAGTGAAATAAAAATAAAATTAGCAATATATAGAACAGCAAAGCAACTGAGATACTGTGGCTGAGAGATCAACTCACAGAAGCCAGGATCTCAAGAACACAGCGATGTGTGACAGAAATATTACAAAAATATGGAAAGGAAGCAACTCTTTTTACCTACTTGTTTCTAAGATTCTGAGCATAAAATTGACTCCCACTCCTTGGAGCCAAGGTCTTACTACGTTGCCTACATTGGTCTCAAACTCTCGGGATCAAATAATTGTCCTGTCTTTGGCTCCCAAGTACTGAAAGTACAGGTGTGCACCTCTGAGTCTGGCTTAAAGCTGACCAGACTGGTGCAAGGGCAAATGCAGAAACTTCTGTATGTCAGTATTTTTGTGACTTTTTTATTGTGATCTAAAGATGTAATAAATGCAAATCTACATGGTTTCATATTATTAACCAAAAGTTTTGTGAAATATTGTCATGTATGTGTGATGTTTTCTATTCCATTAAATTCTGTTCAGTTGTTTAAAAAATATTCATCACAATCAATTACAGTGTTTACGTGACTCACCCACAGAACCAAACTCACTGGAGTGAGCAGTAGCCAAGGCCTGCAGGGTTATAACAGGAGAACAAGGAACTGGGTCAGTGTGGGATGTGTGAGGCTAACTAGAGGTGGTACACTACAAGTAAACGAGGAATTGCAGATCGGAGCAGTTTAAGGGTCATTTATTCAGCATCACTTAGAAGAACTGAAAATGAGTATTACAACTTTGCATAGTTTTTATGAATGTAATAATGACTGGTGTTCCACGCATATAAATTGAGTAGGTGAAAATGAGTATCACAGTGCTTATAGGATTCATAGCATAGCATGGGTATAGCCATTCTCAACAAATTCTGCTGCTGTTCCCACAACTCCTATGGTTCCTGTGATAAATAATTGACTGGTGGACCTTGGCTAATTCCTTCAGTGTGCTGATATTGAGTGCAAAGAACAGACACATACCATTTCTGGGTTAGTGCTACCTCAAGAAGAGAAATTTCTGCCAGGAGGTACATACTACATATAGCACTGTGGCTAACAATTTGGGTAGAGGATTCAGATAGAATCTGTTCCCATTTTGCTTCTGATCCCTTAATTGCTGAGTGACTATAAGCATGTGAGTAACTGTCCTGTAAGTTCTCACCTGTCATGGGGAAATAACAATGAGTGTTATGGAAAAATAAGATGAGATAAGGGCTACTAAGTGTTTGTCATAACCCTTGAAATGGAGAACATTTCTTATCTGATAATACACTTAGGAAGTATATTCCCATCTTCTGACAAAGCATGGGTCTCCAGGACAGTGATCGTTCATGGAGGATGTAAAGGGCATATTTGATTTGAGAATGTGCTGCAGGAAATTTGGCCATGACTTCATTCTGTCTTGAGTCTTATGCTGGATCGCAGGCTGTGAGCCTCTGGTGATGATTCAAGTTAAGATAGACAAGAAGCTTCAGTGGACTCTTAGGAAGGGAACGTAAATCTTGAGTTAAAATTCAGGAGAGCTCCTGCACAACCGCCTCAACCCTGAAAAAATTTTAGCAGCTGATGTGCCCCAGGAGCATTTCTGTGTGAACTAAGCAGCAGTCGGAACAAGAGGGGGCACACTGTTGTTTATTCAGGGAACAGCAGAATCATGTAAAAGCATTGAGGACACCAAAATCACAGACTTCTATTTTAGAAGATGGCTTAGGTATGAATTTCCTGTTGGCATTTCAATTAAAAAAATACTGTTTTAATTCATATTTGAGCTAAGTGGGCTTACAAGTTGAGAACTTGTGGAGAGAGAAATGTTTAGGAAGTAAGGCTGGGAGAGAATGAAAGTGTTTATTTTGAAGAAAATATTGTTTTAATCCATTTTGGGGATAGTTAGGGCTATAAGTCGAGGATCTGTTGAGATGGGAATATTCAGGAAGCAAGTCTGGGAAAGAGTAAAAGGGCTTAGTCTGAAGAGAGAAACTTAAAAAGAAATAGAAATTAGATAATTCCTTATCGCTAGGCAGAATGTGATATAGCAGAAAGGCAAAATGCATATGGTAGGCTGAGAGCTAGTTTTGCCTTTGAATTAGCCGTGCAATCTTCAAATCTTTCTCTGCTATTAAATGAGTGAAAAGACTGATAATTCTTGGAAATAATGGCCAGCTGAGGTCATCAAGGCGTCCATTTCTTAATTTCTTTATTAACTGATAAACATTATGGGGTCATTTCTGGAACATATAACTCCCCTGAAAAAATAAGATGGCCACGAAGAGACAAAATACAGGGTAGAATGAGATAGGTATCAGGAGACAGGTAATTTCAGAAAAGTGAGGTTTATTTATCTAGAACCATCTAGGATTGCTTTAGAGCAAAAATAGAATGCATTTAAAAAAGGCATTTTGAAAACAGCATGGCCTGGGTAATCAGTAGGTACAGAGGAATTTAGGGAAAGGAGGTAGCACTAGCACAGGTACAGAAGCAAAAGCGTCTGAGAGTCAACATGTGCTGAGGAAGCAGAATATGATGGTCTTTGGCTGGAGTTAGGGGGCTTTAATGCAATGAGGAAAGAGAAAGCCAGATGAAGGAGTTGTAGGAAAGGTAAAGTCCTACCGCACTCAGCAGACAATCATGAAAGGTTCTGCAAAGTGGTGTGAAATGATAAGAGCCCAAATAAAGTTCCTTCCAGTTTTTCCTACACCTCAATGTCTTCTTTTTGTCAGTATGACTTAGGCTACCTGGGTTTAAATTCTGTCCTCACCATTTACTATCCAGAGGAAGTTGAGCCAATTATTTAACCTCACAAAGCACCAGTTTCTGAACCTTTAGGTGAAATAACCTATTTTCTAAGGCTCTTTTAGAAATGAAATAAAATGATAGGTAAAAACACTTAACAGAGAGACTGGTACAAAAGCTGCACTCACTGAGTGATAATTGCTGTTTTTGCTGTTATTATTTTCAAGCCATTTGATGACAGCAGCTTGTAGCTGTCTAACTAGGATTTTCCTATGCAAGTAGGCCTCCTCTGAATTTTTGGAGTCAGGGAAACCACTTGGTGGTTGCCACTACTATTTGTAAACTCTTGGAATCAGAAAAGGTCTGTGGGTTCTAGAGGTTTGGAAGTACTTTCTTAACATTTTACAGTTGGTGGTAGTGTGTACCTTCTATCATAAAGCACTTCCTTTCTGTTTATAGAAACAATCCCGGAAAATTACCTTAAATGATTTGCCAGTTAAAAGGATCCAGCCTTTTGTAATGATATTTTATAATAAAAATCCCAGCCAGTGACTGTTTTGGAGGTTTAATCGTTTTGTTTATCTTATTTTTATCTTGGTTTCAGCTGTTAATGCCGTGGATATGGGTAGCATAGAAATAGCCTGTTCTGTGAAGGCTTAGTGTTGCAGTCTGTCTTTTCCCAGCTGTGTGATAATGTGGACCATGTTGCGCACTGGGAGTGTGAACAGGTAGGGAAAACCAGTCACCACACTGTTTACCCTGAGAGATGAAAAATGGGCCGTGAAGTCATGCTGCGTATTTCTGGGAAACTTCCAGAAAAGTCACGATGGCCGCTGGATGATGCCTTTTCCTTTGGTGCATCTAACTAGCTTAATTAACCATAAGCATTAATGCCAAAAGGGTAGATCAAATGACTCAGATTTCAGGATGCTTACCATTGCTAATTATTTAAGTATTATTCATATGGAAAACCCCAACAGCAAATAAGATACCAATACATAGCTCACTTTGTCAAAATTATAAGAAAGTTAAAATCCATTGTGTGGAAATCATGTATAATTATTATTAATTAAATTATTTGGATAATCATTTTATATATAGCTTTTAAATTGTATATATAACTGAATAAGTATGTATAATGAAATATATGCTAAGGAAACATACTATGTGGTGAGAGCTGTTTATACAGAGAGTGTTATGTGGATAGTCTTTGTAATACCAATGATTCATTTAACTTCACAAATCTCGTGAAATAGCAGCTATTCTCACTTTATAATTGAGGAAGCTAATTTTTAGTAAGTTAAGCCACTTGCTCACAGAAAATAGTCAATGTTCTTTTTATGCAAGTTGGAGATACTAGAGGTAGAGGCCTTCAGGAAAAGATTGTCAATGACTCTTGAATATCACTGATGAGATATTCAAGAGTGGAGGAATTTAACTTTACTTTCCTAGGCAGCAAAACTGAGAGATTAAGGCTACAAACTGTGGAATTTGCTTGGCTGTGTTCAGAACTCAGCTTCATTGCTTAACCTCATTACTCACTGTTTGTCAAATTATGTAGCCTTTACAACCAGCTTTCTAATCTGTAAAATGGGAACAGTGAGAGTACCTCTTCTCTGGAGGACTGATGAACTAATTTAAATAAAACAAAGAGCACAGAGCCCAGCAAAAGCTCAATAAAGATATTATAGAAATTACTGTTATTTCCAATAGTAGTGTCTTACCTGAGGCCTGGGTAGAGCGAATGCTCGCATAGAAATACAAGCAGCCATCCTTCAAGATGCAGTAGTGCTGGACCCACGAATCCATGTTGCTATCCAGCTGGTGCAGAAGACCCAGGCACTCAGGGTTCTTGATAGCCAGGGGTGGGAGGCTGCTATTGTGCAGAGTCACATCTTCCCAGACATGGTTCTGCGGGTGAAGCACAAAGACTCTGAGTGGTCACCAGGAAGCAAAGGCCATTGACTTCCAGGCCTGGCAGCACCAAGTCTGTTTGGCTTTCAGGAGGTCACTGTCCTGAATGGTCCTGTTGCTAAGATAGTCTGAAGACTTGAGCAACAAATTCAGAAACCAAAATTTCCCCATTGTTCCTAGAGAACTTTTCTTCCTTTTCAAAGCCATCGACATTCCTTCTCTTTGACTTCTATTACATTCAGAGGAAATCAAAAGACTATCAGCCAAAGAGCAGGGAGGCCCTGTTCAGAAAAAAGAAATGGAAATAGACACCTCAGCAAAGACTATTTTTAACGTCCTGTCTATCAGTGCCCGGCCTGATTCCCTCATTGGAAGAATTGTCCTCCTAGGCCTGTTCCTGGTAAATCTACCGTGAGTAACAGCAGCTCCCAGGTCCTGCTTTTCTTTATGTAGGTCTCTCATTTGTGCAGATGAACAAGTTAAATGCCCCAGGCCAGCTCAGACCCGAGGCGCTCATTGTGAGTGATATGGAAGGCTGATAATAAATGGAGGTCCCGTACCCTGGAGGGCAGTCCTCCGTCCCCACGCCTGGGAGACAGGCTCTTTCCAAGAACTCTGACCCGAGACCCGAGGCACTGAGCTTTATCTCTTTATCAGGGCACGCTGCTCCTGCTTTGCATTTTTTCTTCTTTGTTTGGTTTTATTTTTGCCCTCTTGTCTTAACAAGGAGTAGAAAAGATTTCAGACTGCAGAGCTTGCTCTATTCTTTGCTGTGAAGTGGAAGCCTGCTGGGAGTTGGGTGTGCATTTTTTCACTTTGCTACAGACACTCTGAGTGCATTAGCAGAGTAGATACCTTTTAAAAATATCCAGGCTCATTAGCAGGATGCATTGGCGAGGTAGGTGAGTGCATGGAGTGTTGTGCCACAGATAAAAAGAAACACGTCTTGTTATTTGTCATATGACAGTGCTTGTGATTGTTCTAAAAAGGCAATTACAAGACAAGGTACGTGCATACTCAGATAACCTGATTTTTTTCAAATGTAAAAGAGCCAAATTATGTAGAGAAGATCACTGAAAGTGAAAGCCTTTTGCTCATGTGAGGAAATAAACATTTAAGGAGAACATAAAGCTCATTAGAAATCATACCCATAGGATGGGCATGAAAACAATTTTCTCCCCAACAGGTTGTAGCACAAGCTTAGAAAGAGAATTATCAAATGGCTTAGGGACAGAAATGATGACTCACCTGTTGATATTATGAAATTATCTGTTTGTAGGTAAACGCTACATGAAGGACTACATTGCTCCAAAGCTGGTAGTAACAAATGGATAGGGATTGTGAAAGTTGTCTTGATAGTATAAGGATATGAACATAAAGCACTGTAAATCTGAATAAAATACACTCATTCTTTAATACATTGCTCAGCCAATCCCAAGATATCCCTGAGATCTTATATTTTTCAAGTGAAAAGAAAACAGCAGCATTGTTTTACCATCATGCAAAACTATTAGACTGCTCTGTGCGAAGCAGAAATTCCACCCCTTTTGCAACTTCTCACTGAATCTGACTGGAAGAGATGTTATATAAATCCCCTCAAATGAGAACAACAGCAGGAACGTAAGCTTCCTTGCAGAATAAAAGCAGAAAATCCTGTCGACTTAAATCACCTTCATTAGCTTTTGGAACAGATGTAAGAAGCCCAGGGTGGACTGCGTGCCATCCAACTTGTCTCCTCCATGCTTTAGAAAGAAAAGCTGGAATGAAGGCAGAGGTACATGCTAAGGTAACCTTACCTGGTGGATAGGATGCGCTGCTCTGTCCATTGCTTCAAGCCACCTGAAAGACAGGAAGATGAAAGGAGATTGGAGAAGTGTCACTCTGAGGGGCTCATTCTTGCTGAAGCCATGGTTTAGACAGAACAGTCCCTAGGCTCAGATGGATGCCACTGCTCTGAATTCTGGAGTGAGGAACAACACTTTCATGCAAAGTGAGTGTTACTGTGCGTGAAAACCTTACCCACACCTGGCATATTTTAAAAAATTACTTACAGAAATGCGGGATGCAGATGATCAGAGAAAGAAAATGTGGCATTTACTCACTATGAAGTGCTGTTCTCCCACAAAGGAAAGCTGGAGTCATTACCAGGAAAATGGATGCACTTTCAGGCCATAATATGAAGTGAAATAAATCAGACACACAAGCTCAAATATCACACATTTTTACATGAGAAACTCAGAGTAAAAAAAAAGAGCAAAATAAAAGACAATAGGAAGGAGGGAGATAAAGCTTTCTCAAAGGGAAGAGGTGAAGAGATGGATGGAGGGATGAAGGGGCAAAGAGTTAAGGAATTGCGATGTGTTAAGTTCATGTACCATCAAGTAATGTAAATACTATGTACCACACACATGTACTAATATACTAAAAAACCCCGACAAATCTAAAGAAAATTCTACCTTTCCTTTACTCTAATTTAATTACTTCTATACAACATATAGAATTTATTAACATCAACAGGGTTGATAATTGGTATAAGAACCATAGGCACTGACTTTAAAATATGTAAGTATAGATGAATGGCCACTGTTCTGATTTCTTTCCCCAGGTCACAATGGTTACTTTTAGAATACCATTCGTGTCCCTTAAAGACTGAAATTTCTTTATCTTGTCTCAGCCAGGCACCCACTTATCCACCACATTCTAGTTTGGCAAATTTTTTCCAGTTTTCTTTTAAATTCCATAACTCCCTGTCAAAATATACTATTTGCTCTTCTCCCCAAAGCTTGATTTATTTCCTCTGCTCCTTTACATTCCATTTCATCCTATACCAATCCCATGCCACATCTTTCAGAAATAACTGCCTTACTCTCACATCTAAAACCCCTCTGTCCTTATTCTCAATTCTTGTGCCACTTTTTCTTCTCTGATAACACTTCTCAACTTTTATTTTGCCCTCAAAATATTGGAATAAATGCTCTATATTCTCAGAGCAGTTTTTTTATTACAAATTTCTAGCTTTATTTATTTTATAGAGAAAAAAACTAACAACAACAATGAAGACAAAGACAAAAACAACACAAAAACAATCAAAACGATATATGACCTGAAAACAGAATGATAGGAATTAACAGTTATTGCTACATTACAGACTGTTATCTTCAGCGAAGTTGCTCAGTCCACAAGTTGCTCAGATGCAAGAATGATCAAACAATCAGACGGTAACAAGTAATAATAATAAAAAACCATTGGAAATGATGCAGAGGTTCACCATACAAGATGGTAGGAACTCACCGATGGTTCTTATACTGTATATTGTTGTTTTCAAATAGTCATTCTTATTACCAGATACAAGCATGCAAAATTGGTCAAGCAAAAAGAAAATTTTAAGCATTAACTGTTTCTTTCAATAAACCACAGACATCAGGACTGGCTCTTCATCATACTAATAATCCATAAAACCTTTAAAACAATATCTTAGGCATATTTCAGTTATACAAATAAATGTTTTGTGCAAGCATTGAAATATTATCATATTCTCTTGCTTGTCCTATAAGACAATATGTATTTGAAATCATAATTTTCTATATGTTTAGACAGCTTATTGTTTATCTCAAAAGCTTCAGGCCTATTATTTATTTAACATCAGATCTTGATCCAAATTCTTTGAAAGAGATATACTATGGCCACTGAACACTGTTGACCAATTACCTTTTGTCACTGACTATTCCCCTACTCAATTATACCTCTCATTCCAAATTCACAGTACTTCCTCTAGTTTCCAACTGACTCATTGGATTGACCATGATTTCCATTCTTTTTGGTAGACACATTGAGTAATGACAGTGGTTGCTATGGTCAAAGTTCATAGTTCACTGTCTTAGAATGCATGCATATTTCTTCCCCTTCATTTAGGTTATGTGCTCACAAATGTCAACTCCATTCATGTCCCTTCAATGCTTCTCGTCTCTTTCTCTTTCTTTTTTCTTTTTTTCTTCCTCACCTTTCATTGTAGTATACTAAGTTGGAATTTTGCTACAATACTTTTATAGCAAAGACTATCTGTCAAACTAGCCTAAAATACATAAATTTGGCAAGGGGATGCTACATGTCTACTATGGCACAGTTTAGCAGTTTTAGAAAATACAGAAATAAAGCAATTAAGTTAGCAGAATATGCTTTTTTAAAAAAAATCAGAAAGAAGCTGAAAGAATAATGAAAAACTACACATTTTTTACATAAGAACAAAACAATTCATTGATTCACATCACAAAGTTGCCATTGTTTGTTCTTCTTCTAACCCCAAGAGTCTATAAGACTGCTGCTAAAGAAGCATTTGCCCACTCAAAATGAAACTAGTGAGGTAAAAGATTAATGAATTATCATGGAAAAACTGGTAAGGTAAAAGATTAATGAATTACCTTTTCATTTCTTGGTTTGAGGTTGCACATAGGCAAAAAATTCTATTTCCAGACTGAGGGATACAGTTAAATACAAATGGTTTTCCCAAGCTGCTATCAATGGAAACTTCAGCACCTTCTAATTTTATTGCTTCAAGAGGTGGTAATTTTCCTTCATCCTGTAATTGATAAGGAAGATGTTCAGTATTGGCTCTGTAACTAAGCAGATAAAGGAGAAAATAAGAGAATAAAGAAGGATTAAAGTGATTTTTCTTTATTTTATATGACAAAAAAGCCAAAATAGTTTGGTAGATTACATTCCTCTTTAAATTTCCATGGAACTCCCAAATTTTTCCACCTGCCATACTTTTCTACATCACTTTTGAATAACCTCTATTATTATGTTTCATTTATGACAATGTGGAAAAGTATCACTGATTATTTTTTAAGTGTCATTGGTTATTAATGCTCACTTTTGCCATCAGAGAAAAAGAACATCAAAAAAAAAAAAAAAAAAAGCAGCAGAGAAAGAGCCTTTCTGACAGTTGTCATCCAAGCCCTGGAATATAGCAACTTGAGGAAGACAAGAATGAAGGAAGTGTGTCCCCGGGACCCAGGGAGGATCTGAAGTGTGAATTGAAATCCACAGAGAGAGTGAAGAGAGAAAGTTCACCAAAGAAGGAGGTAGCCAGTGACACCTTCTCCTTGGAATGGAACACACTGCACAAGAGAAGTGATTCAAACCTGTTGACACACAGTGACTGTTGGCAATACCAGAGACCTCCAGAGAGAGATGCAACAGTGGAGAGGATCAGTGGATGTGAAAGACTGCTGAGGTCTCAGTAGGACCACCCAGGAGAGAGCAATTCACCAGAAGCCATCTTGGAGAAGGGCCAACTGAGCGCAGAACTCAGAGCAGGTGCAGGCTCCATCTAGTGGCTCCCAGATGCGTTCAACCACCCCCCGACCCTCGGGGAAGGTAAGCTGATGGTTACAGGCTGAATGAATCTAGTCTCCTCCAGAAGGTGCAGGCCTGTGATTATCCACTACTTCACCAAAAAGGCTCTGCTGGCTTGCTGGGATATATCAACATGGATATGGACTCTGTCTCCACATACTGTCTACCAGTGACAGCAGAGATAAACCTGAATGTGGACTTCTCTCTATCTTTTTCTGTGGTTTTGTTTTGTTCTCCATTCTCTAATCTTGTTTTTTATATGAGTGTGAATGTAGTTTCTAGCCTTTTGTGGTTGTTTTTGTGTTCTGTTTATTTTTTCCTTCTGTCTTTTCCTCTAGACTTCTGCAGTAGTTTTCCAAAGTTAGTGTAATTTCCATGTGTCCTCCAGGCTTACTTTTAATCTCTTCCTCTTCTACTTCCCTATTTTCTCCATAACCATTTTTAAATAATCCCTGAGGGTAAAAATTGACATACTCAGTACTTATAATCTGCATATAATTTTCTGATTTCTTATAGATTTTGTTACATATTCACAAATCTAGTTTATATGGTTAAAGGTGGCAAATTAATGGTCACCTCAGTTTGTCATTTATCTATGCTGTGTTTGATGCTATTATTATTGCCGATGGTACCACTTTAGCCAAAAGTGACATAATTGTTTCAAACAGCTATTCTTCCTGGTATTGCAAGACTGACATTGCTTAAGGGCTATAGAATATACTATGGGCCAGTGCCAAAGAACCAGAGGCTGGGGCAAGCAGGCAGCAACTTCTCATCCCCAACAAACTGAAGAGGTATATTGAACTGCAGAGATAGTGTCCACAACGAAAACCATGTTTAGTGACTCTAGAGCAGATACAGATAAAAAAAAATAGAGGAGTTTAAGAAAATTATGGAAGCCATGAATTCTCAGCATAGGAAAGAAATGGAATCCATATGGCAGATGCAAGAAGATATACAGGAGAATAAAAATGCCATTGAAAATATCTGCAGCAGAATAAACCAGTGTGAGGACAGAATCTCAGATATAGCAGTTAGCAATCAAGAAAAGAAAGATTTCTTAAAAATAGTAAGGGACAATGAGAGATCAATCCAGCAACTGCTAGATGAGGCAAAGAATAACTTAAGATTGTTTGGAGTCAATGAAAAAGCAGCAGAGAGCACAAATGATGTAAAAAACTTCACAGACATCATGGCATAAAGCTTCCCTGGTAGGGAAAAAGAATTTTACATACAGGTAAGTGAGGCTTATAGAACTCCATTTAGCCATGATAAAAAAATAATCTGCAGTCAGGCATGTCATAGTCAAGATTTAGAAATTTAACACAAGAACAGAATCTTAAAAGCTGTTAGGGAAAAGAAACAAAACACTTATATAGGAAAGCCCATCAGAATCACAGCTGACATCTCAGCACAAACCCTCAAATCACGGAGAGTTTGGAGTGAAGTGTTTCACGTTATAAAGGAAAACAACCTTCAATCCAGATAGATATACTGCAAAACTATCTTTCAAAACTGATGGAGAAATAAGATACTTCTGTGACAAAGAACATCTGAGGAAATTTATGACCACCAAGCCAGCACTTCAAAATGTTTTGAAAGACATTCTAGAAAGAGATAACAAAGACTACAACTCCATAAACTCCAACAGAAGGAATCTACCAAGCAAGGCAAACAATTAACCAGAAGGGAGAGAAAAAGGGAGTCAATAACAGGAAAGTAACATTGCAAGGATAAGTCAATACATATCAGTTGTAACCATCAATGTTAATGGTCTCAATTTACTGAGCAAAGACACATACTGGCAGAATTGGTCAAGAAGCAAGCTCCAACAATATTCTGCATACAAGAAACATACTTAATTCAAAAAGAAATTCATACACTAAAATTCAAAGGATGGAAAACAATACTCCCTGCAACAATAACCCAGAAAAAAAATAGGGGTAGCTATTCCACTTGTAGACAAAGTGAATTTCAAGCCAAGACTGATTAAGGGAGACAGAGAAGGTCACTACATACACATTAGAGGACAATCCAAGAGGAGGAGATAACAATCATAAATATATATGTAGCAAATACCAGTGCACCCAACTATATAAAGCAAATATTAATGGGCATGGAAAACCAAATAAACACTAATACAATTATATTGGGGACTCTCAACACCCCACTGTCACAAAAAAACAGATCAACTAGACAAAAAATCAGCAATAAAATATAAGAACTGAACCAAACTTTTGAACAAATGGACTTAGATGTCTACAGAGTGTTCTATATTATAATATCAGAATATACATTCTTCTCAGCTGTGTACAGAAACTCTCAAAAATAGATGATATACTAGTTTACAGAACATGCTTAAGTAAATGCAAAGGCATCAAAATTATCCCATCTATATTATGAGGTCATAGGGCAATGAAATTGGAAAGCAATGGCAAAGGAAACCACAAGAACCTCATAAACACATGGAAATTAAGTTGCACCCTCCCGAACAACTAATGGGTCACAGGTGAAATTAAAGAAGAAATTAGTCTCTACAATTAAATGATAATGACAATACAACATATCAGAAGTTATGGGATACAATGAAAGCAGTCCTAAGAGAGAAATTTATAGCAGTGAATACCCATATCAGGAAAACGGAGCAAGCACAAACACAGAATTAAAAGGTGAATCTCAAACTTCTCAAAATAGAAGAGCAGGCTAAGCCAAGTCTCCATGAGGGAGGAAATTATCAAAATCAGAGCAGAGATTAATGGATTGGAGACTCAGAAAATGATGCAAAGAATCAATGAATCAAAAAGTTAGTCCTTTCAAAGATTAAATAAAATCAACAGGCTTTTTTTAGCCAACCTTATAAAAAATGAAAGAAAAGACTCAAATTTATGCAATTAGGAATGAAAAGGGTGAAATCACAGCAGACCCTGCAGAAATCCAGAAAAAATCCAGATGAAATCCAAAATTCATCTATACCTACTTTTAGAATTTGTATTATACTAAGATGGCAAAAGCAGAAGAAATAGACAAACTTCTAGATACATGTGAATTACCAAAGCTGAATCAAGAAGATATAAAAATCCTAAATAAACCAATATCAATCAATGAAGTTGAAGATGTAATTAAAAATCTACAACAAAGAAAATCCCAGGCTCTGACAGATTCACTGCTGAATTCTATAAGAAATTTAGAGAAGACCTAATACCACTACTTCTAACACTCTTTAATAAAATTTAAGGAGAAGTGGCAATCCCAAATTCACTCCTGAAAGTAAGCATTACCGTGATACCAAAACTGGAGATGGGTTCAACTAAGAAAGAGAACTACAAGCCAGTCTCACAAATGAACATACATGCAAAAATCCTCAATAAAATACTGGCAAACTGAATATAGCAAATCATGAAGAAGATTATACACCATGACCAAGTTGGATTCATCCAAGGGATGCAAGGATGGTTCAACATATGTAAATCAATAAATGTAATACACCTTATTAACAGAGCCAAGGACAAAAGCTATGTGATCATTTCAATAAATGCAGAAAAAGCTTTTAACAAATTCCAGGACCCATTCATGATAAAAACCCTACAGAAAATCAGAATAGATTGCCTTTATCTCAATCTGATAAAAGCCACCTACAACAAACCAATAGCCAGCGTTATACCAGATGGACAAAACTGAAAGCTCTCACTATAAAATCAGGAACAAGACAAGGATGTGCACTGTCTATTCAACATAGTCCTGGAAGCTTTAGCTAGAAAAATTAGACAAGAGAAAGAAATAAAAGGAATAATGATAGGAAATGGACAAGTTAAATTGTCATTAGTTGTGGATGACATGATGCTTTCTATATAAGAACCAGAAAAACTTTACTAAACTTCTACATTTAATAAACATATTCAGTCACATAGCTGTAAACAAAGTCAACACTGGAAAATCAATAGCTTTCCTGTACATGAATAACACACTCACTGAGAGAGAAATTAGGAACAACACATGTCACAATAGCATGCAAAATATGAAATACCTAGGAATCAATCTAATGATGGATGTAGAATACCTCTACATTGAAATCTACAGTACTCTGAAAAGGGAGATTGAAGAGGATGTCAGAAAATGGAAAGATATCCGTTGCTCTTGGGTAGGATAAACCAATACAGCAAAAATGGCCATTCTTTCCAAACTGTTATATGGATTTAATGGAATTACACTCAAAATTCCAAC